AAATAATATTATGTTTCAGAAATATTGAAAATAAAACTGAAAAACTGAAAATAAAATGATTTCAAAAATGAACTTCTTAAAATATTTTCAAAAAATAATATAAGAAAAAAATAAATTTTATATTTTGGTAGTATTTAAAACAAAATTCGAAAATTCAAACTTTTTAAAAATAACAGAAACAGAAAGAACACAAGTTTCTGAGTTTATTTTTCAACTGACTATATATTTACTATATATTTCTCACCTTTCATTTTTTTATCCTTGCAGAGGGTATTATACCATAATTTTGATTATAAATACTTTCAGTATTTTTGACAAGTTTAAAAACCCTACGTTATTTGGATTTATTTCTGTAACTGCTGGTCATTATTTGCTCTTCGATTTGTATACAAAAATCTTTTTTTATTTTCTTCATTCCTTTGCCTTGTTTTTACTTTTTATTTTATTTATTTTAAAGTTTATTTTTTTAAGTTTTTTTTTTTTTGAGAAAGTAGCCAAACAAGTGAATCGGGAGGGCGGGAAAATAAGTGTGAGTCAGAGGCAGAAGTGGAGCGATTACTTTTGAATAGTTTAACAGCTGTTCCGAGTGACTGTGCATTGGAGAAATGGTAGAGAAATGGTGGAGAAATGGTGGAGAAATGGGGGGTGAATGGGGGGAGGGAGGCAGAAAGCGCTGAAAAATGGGGGAGGATGCAGTAAAATAAATGGTCAAGTAATTGCGAATTGAGATTGGTGCGGGGATTAAGTTGAAAATGAGTGGCTGATTTTTTCTCACTTTTTGGAGATACATACATATATATATATAGGATAGTTAAGTGTATAGCAGTAGTTCTCATTGCAGTTATAGGAGAAATGGGAATAAAATAATGTGCTACTTTATAAAGTTAATAAAGCTGAGGGTTTTATTTTATTTCTTTTATTTTGTTATTTTCCAGCCCACTTGCAAGACTTCACTTTCCGAGTTGCTATTGAAATAATAATTTCCTTTTCTTGGCAATTCTTTCTCCATTTGATCCGGGAAAGTTGAATCCGCACAATCCAATTCCAATTCCAATCCGAGTCCCAAGCCCAAGCCCAATCCCGAGACTCTTTATTTTCTGAATCGTCTAGACGGGGTCTCAAGGTGCCCATTGTTTTGTATTCATGAGTGAGTGTGTTAGTGTGTTGGTCAATCCATGAGTCTGTCAATGTATAGGTCATATATATATATATAATGTATATGTATTTGTATTGCCATGTAAATCAATGCATTATTTTCCCACGTCGTTTCAACAAAAAAGCCAAAACTCATTTATCAGAGGCGGCATTTCAACAACAAAAGCGGTAACACCAATAACAACAACAACAATAAAAACAACAACAACAAACAAACATCAGCCCACCCACACACACATAAAACAAAGTAAGAACAAAAACAACAACAATATTAAAGCCTATATCGAGAAAGAAATGAGCAGCATCATCATTTATATAGTCCATTGCCCATTGGCCTTATAAGTCTGTATTTTAGACTACAATATACACACATATATTTGTATATTCCGGGTGTGTAGGAATCATCAGAATCGTTTGTGAATTATAAACAATCGACTGCTGATGATTATTTAGTGCAAAGCCTATTAAGGCATCAACCTCAGAATAAAATGAATTGAAAAAAGACTTCAAAATTTACATAGAAGCTTCTCTTAGGTTAGACAAGGGCATTTTCTATATAAAGCTGTGGATAGACTTTTACTTTCTATAATGGAAGGCTATTATTTAAGGATATTTACATTAGTTTAGTTTTTAAAAAGTTGAACAAAAACTTTTCTTTTCTGTTCTTTTAACATGTCTTGAAATGGCTGAAAGAAGTTTCATTTTTGACTAAAACTTCCCTTTTTGTTGGATAACTTCTTTAACTTTATTATAACTATAACTTTATATATCTTTTTTTTAAGACTTAATTTTTCAGGCCTACAATAGCTTCCTTAATGTTTAGGGCTTTCTTCTTGAACTATGATACATGTATCTTAATCTGACTCTACTAACTCTACTTTCTTCTTAAAATAGCTAAGTGATTAACTTACTACATGGATAGCCTACTAACATTATTTAAAAATAAGAAGTTTTATATATTTTTATATATATAAATATATATTTTATATTTTAAAGTCTGAAGAATTTACATATTTTCCGGTAGGATTTTAAAGAAACTAATCTGTTTTTGGATATTTAAGAAAAGTATCTAAAACATATCGTAGACCTTTAATAAACAATTTTATTTTCAAAGTTTTCTTCTTGAATTGTTATATGTTGAATAATTTTTATTCTTTTAACATACTCTATTTATGCTCCTCTTCTTAGTTACTTAATATAATAATGCTTTCTTTTAAAGTAGTGTCTAAAACATTATGAAGGCATTAGGATATCTTGTCTCCTTATATTAGACGTTTATCGAGAAACATCGATTTTTAAAGGACTTTCATAGCAAGATAACATTTACAAGTCTCTATTTCTCAGGTCTTTGTGATAGACCCTTTATATTATTCTCAGTAATTTGAAGTAAATACCATTGTATCTTAAGATGTTACAAGTTTTATATTTGTTGCAAATATACTAATAGTTTTTTTCGATTGATCTTGAGAAGAGACACTTCAAATATAAAAGACTAACATCTATCTAATATTTTTCTTAATAAAAGCCCTTAGAGAAATGCCTTACAATGCATATTTCTTACCCCCTTTTTGTGTATATTAGACCAGCCCTTTGTCCTAAGAGCTCCTCCCTTCTTTGCAACATCCTCTTGAAGATTTGTTCTCTTGTTTTTTCCTGTTTTTCATGACAAACAAATAGACAAGATTTAATTTATGGCCAGCCATTTAATTGCGAAAAATTGGAGCTCTTGCTGATCCCCCGACTTTCTGGAGCGTAAGCCCAAGGCAGGCACACATATCGTATCTTCTTGTATATAGACCATGTATATGTATATATATATATTTCAAATAATGACCACAAAACTGTCATTAGACACGGCGCATAAACAGCAGAAACAACAATAATGGCCAGTAAGCAGGGCGGCCGGAAAAAAAAAACAAAATTAAAGTGGATGGCAAACAGAGCGCATCGATGGCATTGAATAATAATAATTCCCGACTTGGCCAAGTTCTTGGGATAAATATTAAAGAGTATTCCCAAAAAACAAAAGACAAAAATTATAAGAAATAATCTTTAAAAAAAGACTATTTTTCATGAGAAAAATAATATAAAATATATGTCTTTTTTTTAAAACCTTTTTTAATATTTGGTTTCTTAAACTTTTTCCCGCAGTGCCTTATTTTTCTCTTCTGTTTGTTCATAATTTGTTTGTGTTGAGTGTTTGTTGGAAGCTCCAACCTCAGTTTGTGTGCATATTCCATTGATTTAATTGATTCAAAAAAAAAATGAAGAAAAAAATATTCAAATCACAAAAGTGTTAAGAATCTCGAACTAGAAACCCTTTCCTTATTATAGCTCCTTCCCTTTCTTTTCTGTTTCCCCCTCTCTTTCCATCTCTTTAAACAGGTTCTGTCAGCGAACTGTGAAGAATTCTTTTTTTTTGTTGTTGTTGTTGTTTTCTTTCTTCGATGTGCGAGTTTCGTGTTATTCTTCTGAACCTGCGTGCCCAAGAGTCCAAGTCCAAGTCCAAGTATCCGAGTATCCGAGTACCAGAGCCCAAGAGTCAACATTCCTGGCTCCCCCTCTCCAAATACAGCACATAAACTGAAAAACCTGTTTTCTCAATAATAAAAACTAATTTATTTACTAGTTGTAGGTACAAAGAAATACCAATAACAACAACAACAATAGCATCTACTTTGAAAACCTAAAAAAAACCATGGCGACAAAAAAAAAGAGTGGAAGAAGGTTTCGAGAAGAGAAAACTGCGTGTGTGGCTAATCAGAATCAAATTGATTTAAATTTGAATGGTTCGACGGTTAAAGTGCGATCACACACACACACTGGAGAAAAAAACCAGGCAAGTGGTGGGGGAGCTCTAAAAAGTGAGAAAAAAAAGCGACAAGTTGTTTTCAACTCAAGTGAAGTTAGGGCTGCTTATCGCAAACGAGTTTGATTTTTTTAGAGGCGGCCTTTTTCTTTACTTGATGGGCTAAGGGTTTTGTTATTTCGGTAACAGATTTTTAATATTTAAGTTTAGTTAGGTAAGTTAGTTGAATTAAGTACCTAAAACATCGCAAGAGAAATAGAGTCCACGACTTCTTGTCAAAAGCGAGGTTAGTTTCCACCCCAGTCCAGACTATCTTTTATCCTTAATATGTAGCTACGTAATAGGTATTTTCTTCATGTAATAGGTAACCTTTTACTTTTTTATAAAACTAAATTTTAAATTTAAAGTGACATAATCAAATAATTAAAACACCATATCTCTGCTAATTGGAAAATCAAATATTGAAACAACCTGAGACAAGAAAATCACGAAGCCAAAGACAGAATATACCAAGAACATAGTGCATATATATAGAATAATTGAAGAAATTTTCCGCAGATTTTGCAGCTGCTGTTGTTATTTTTTTGTTGGAAAATTGCAGTCTGCGGAAAAGTATTTAGAGGGAAAAACTGAAACTGAAACTGAACTGAAACTGAACTGAACTGAAGCTATAGAGGAGCCAGCCGGAACAAAGAACAATAACCGAAATTCGAAGAAAGTATCTTAAAGATACCAAAACTAGCCAGAGCTGGAGCCAACTCCTTGGCTCACAAACACAAACACACACACATAGGGAAAAGCCAAACAAAAGCAGCGGAAGTAACTGGGGTGGAGGTATACTATATGTAGTCGAAAGCGCAAACTTTTGCGCTCACTTTTGACACAGTAGATGAGCAACAAGATACACACAACCCAAAAGATACCACCATACTATAACAGATACGGATACTGAGATACTGAGATACGGATGACTCAGTCAGGGGCGACTATGGTTGGAAGACTTTTCCGGAGCTTGACAACAGGTGGCTTCACTTACCTGTCTGTTTATGTTTTATTTTTGATGTTTTTCTCTCCTCCAGCTTCAGCTACTCCTTGGCTGTATCCTTATCCTTATCCTTGTCTATTGTTGCTGTTCAATTACTTGGTTACGGTACCTTTGTTTTTCCACCTGGACTCTTGGTTCTCGGTCCTCGGTTCTGGACTGTAGGCGGCCCTCTTCGCATCCAATGGAGGCGCAAAAGTTGCCCAAAGTTCGCCGGCTTAGCTGCAAAAAGATAGCAATTTCATCAAGAGTTTCGCCAATTTTCCAAATATAAACAATAATAGCCTCCGAAATTGATAAACAATGCACTTTTCGTCACGAAAATATTTGCCCTAAGTGCGGATTCTTTGAAATATTTTGCCCAGAAAGCCCTCCACTGACTCACTTCTCCATGAATATTCATTAGATTCTTGGTTTTTTTTTCAAAAACTATTCAAAATTAACACTTTTCTGCTGGACAATCCAGTTCGTCAAGCTGCCATTAAAAATCGAACCACTTTCTGAGTCATAAAATGGCAACCGCAACCAAAAAAGACTACATCTCTTTTCGATTTACATCTGATTTTGAAAGTCTATTAACTTTAATTTTAAATATTTTCCAATATAATTCTCATTAGATTCTTGAAAGACACAAAAAGAAATGTTCATTTTAGACGTCTATATTTTACTTTACAGTTTTTACATCTATTTTCATACTATCTCTTTTAGGAAAGTCTTAACTTCTAAAAAATGTAAAAGCTCTACTCTAAATACAAATATAAACCACAATAGAGTCTATATTTCATCTTTCTCTCATGAGGTTATATGGCAATATCTGCTTACTATATGGCAATAATATATATCTATTATTTTTAAGGTTTCATGAGATTTACTCATGAAGTAATAGCTAAGGTATTAGATATTAGGATGGTTGGAATCTAATTTTATGTCGCCTGAATATGATTCTTTTGGAAGTTAAAACCTACACATATGTATATATACACATATCTCACATATGTATTATCCAATGAATTATCCCTAGATGCAATTAAAGCTGAATTTATCAAATCTCAATAAGGATTATTTAGAATGTATTTTGATATAATAAATAAATAAATAAATATGCAGATTCAGCAGGAACTGACCCTCTATAATGTTTTCAAGATTTTTCAAAAATGTTTCTGAGAGACTTCTAACAAAAGGTTAAGATAGCATAACTAACTAACTAAATGCATACATATGCATATATATATCTGGGACAGCTAACATACCATTTGTAAGAGGTACATATGTTTTAAACAGTTTCTATTTGAATTCTTTCTTTAAACTTTATAAATACAAGACCATAATCTAAGAAACTTTGTAGTATATTTTTATACCCTTGCAGAGGGTATTATAATTTTGTCCAAAAGTGTGCAACGCAGTGAAGGAGACATCTCCGACCCTATAAAGTATATATATTCTTGATCAGGATCACCTCCTGAGTTGATATGAGCATGTCCGTCTGTCCGTCTGTCCGTCTGTCCGTCTGTCTGTTTCTACGCAAACTAGTCTCTCAGTTTTAAAGCTATCGTCTTGAAACTTTGCACACACCCTTCTTTCCTTTGCACGCAGTATATAAGTCGGAACGGATCGGCCGACTATATCCTATAGCTGCCATATAACTGATTGATCGGAAATGGTATAACTTTGGTGTTTTTAGAGTTAGAGAGTTCAAATTTGACATGAGAGCTATTTTTGGCAAAATAATACGACATGCCAAATTTCATAAGGATCGGCCGACTATATCCTATAGCTGCCATATAACTCAACGATCGGAAATGACCCAACTTTCGTGTTTTTGAAGATAGAAAGCTGGAACTTGGTACAGATTATATTTTGATCCATCCTACCAAATTTCATAAGGATCGGCCAACTATATCCGATGTTTGCGATATATAACCGGTTTTAGCTGCAAGGGTATATAAACTTCGGCTCCGCCCGAAGTTAGCTTTCCTTTCTTGTTATATATTGTTTTCATCATTTTCTCTCTCAAGGCAATCTCTTAGTCACTTTTTTAGTCCAAAACCCCAAAAAAAAAACACACACACCCAAAGATACTCAATCGAATTAAAATGCATTCGAGTAGCAATGACAGTGACACTTGCCCCAAAAAAAAAAAAAAAAAGCCAAATACGCAAAAAAAGACAATAAAAAAAGGCAAACAAAAAAAAAAGAGAAAAAAGAAAAGAAAAAGATACAGATACAGATACGAAATGGCACGGCGGCAGAAACTTAAACTGTGGCAGAAGTTATTGTAACTTTTGGCCGCCGGCGAGGCAGAGCCAATCGAGGGGCACATTCAGAGCGGAAGTGGCAGAGCACTGAGAGAAAATTCATTGATATATATAGTATTTTTGAGATATATATACATACGTGCCTAAGTAATATTTTTCTCTGGTTTAAGGTTTTAAGGATAGAACCTTTTTTGGGACATCTTCCAACTTCTGACTTTTAACTTCTGACTGTTTTTTATCCAAAAGAGAAGCAAGGAATAAAATTTCTTATTATTCCGGCAACGTGGTGTGGGCATTTCCGTACAAAGATGCTCTTTAAATGATTAAACGCTCGGCATTACCAAGTTTCTCTCAGGGCCAGCTTTGGCTGACGTTGTCTTTTTTTTTAATATATATATAATTTTTTTTTCTGCTGAGATTTCATATGAAATGACATCAAGTCGAGCGAAACATCACGCAGAGCCACACTGCCTGCCTGCCTGCCTGCCCTTCTCATTAACATTTTTTTTGTTAATCGATTTGAGTTTTGATTTGATTTCGTTATGATTTCGTTTAGCATTTTAATTCGAAAGCATCATAAAAGCGTTTAAAATGGTAACAAGATGGAGCTAGGGGGTGTCTCACATTTATCTGAAAGATGAAAGAACATTGGACTAGACTAAGTGCTAAGGTTGTTTTGAGGAAATACAACTCCCACGCAGTCCAGATACCGACTTTCCCAAAGCAATTCCATTCAAAAGATTTGGAAAAAATGTTGCAAACCCGCTGACATGAAGACATCAACATGCGACACCAACTGCCGGCCAGGTCAAGTGGCTGAACGTGAATGGGCAGAAAGCCCTGCCATCCTGTGAGAAAGAGCATGACCCAACGGTTTTCTCCACTAGCGGAGCGTAGAGATAGCCGTCTGTCGGGAAGGGTATACTGCAGTATCTTATAGATCTTGTATCTGGCGGGGTGTCGCTGGGTGATGTGCCCTTTTTTATCAGCCATCAGGCCTAGTCATAAGAGCTATGAACTCTTTTCCTCTATCTATGGTTGTTGTTTGAGAAAATTAGTGTTTTTTACAAATCAATTGAAAGAAGTGACAAGAGAGGGCAGCTATGTGATAACCGGTACTTGGTAATAGGTCTTTTGTAATTGGTTTTGTTTGTTAGGACTAACTAAGTTTCTAACTAAGATTCTAACCAATTTTTGTGAAAATAAACGTTCTACCCTATAAGATATATGCTTTTCTATGTTAGGTTTATACTCTACAAGTATCAGAGTATCAGGTTAAAGCGATCAAGTTACTTATGTATCAACAGCTAACATTATCAACTATAAAAAAAACTATAGAAACCCGCTTTGTAACACCCGGTATTGGTTAGATGAGGATAATATGGAAATATGTATGTCCAAAGATGGAAGCATCTATAAGGTAGTTTTTAGAAGGTATTAGATTAGTTGAAACTATATCCCTCTTTTCAGATAAATATTATAACTAAAAACCAAAATATCTACAATACGGTGCTCTAAACCTTAGAGTCTTTCAAAAGCGTGTTTAAAGTCTTCTTTGTTTAAAGATATATATGTATACTTTATATCTATCATATTTTATTTATTTTAAGGCCTACCTCGCTCTATTACCTACAAGTACCGGGTATAACTATTAAGTTAATCACAAATATCTCCCGAATCACCTACTTATAGGCAATAAACACAATAGACACAAGCACAAGTACCGAGTATAACCACCAAGTATTATATTAAAATTTCTCCAGAAAGTTTATTTTCCTGTCTAGCACGCGGCGACTGCAATAAAAGTTAAATAAATATATAAACCTCAAGCCCCAAAAAACCCCAAAAAAAGCAACAAAAAAATAATAATAAACATGAGAAACACCAGAGAGGCAAGAACCAGGCCCGTGGGCTTCCAAAAAAGGGGCAACCCACTGATAGCCGGATAACCGGACTTGGAATCAGATGCTGACAAAGGAAGTTCAAATTTAATTGTTGGAGAGCCCGCTGCCCGGAATTCTAGCAAATATTTTATTATGTTTGTTTTTAATCACAGCCACAAATCTTGGCAGACTCTCTTCTCCCATATCGCCGTCCTATATCTGCCGAGGGTCTTGGAACTTCATTTAGTTCGTTTATATAGTTAGTTTTATTCCATTTATTCTCTTCTACTTTCATTCCGTTTATTCTGCCTTTTGTTTTTTTATGGCCCGGCCGGCGGTTCACATAGTTCTCCTCTAGTTTTAAACTCTCTATTACGGTTAATGGGAGTGTTGTTCCTAGTCGGGGCTCTGGGCACTGGGCTCTGGGTGGCGAAAAAAAAAAAAAATTGAAATAAAATTTCGATTTCGCTTAATTGGCATTCGAATTGGCGGCGGCTCATTAGTGCCTCGGCGAGCTAAGCTCCCCAGCAAACGATTATGCAACACACTGCCCCAGCCATTTAACAATGTCGGCCCGTCAGGTCCCCAGCCCCTGCCACAGAGTCCCCCTGCCGCAGAGACCATTAAAATGTCATATATGTACTTGCCGCGTGAGATAGAAACTAAGACTAACAAAGTCTATCTTTTTTGGTTAACAAAAATTAAACATTTTAACAAGGAAAGTATTAGGAATTTAAGGTTTTAATTGAAGCTTTGTCGTGGACTTTATTTGAATAGAATAAAATAGACTATATTAGAAGTAGACCCTTTAAGAAGAGGGTCTAGACTCTATAGAGTCTGCAGATCTATAAAGAAGGACCCTATTTCAATAGACGCTTCTTGAAAAACTAAGGAATTTCCACAAAAAAAAATCTAATATTTTTAAAAACATGAAACTTTTACAGTTTTGTGATAATATTGCAGTTTTTTTTTTAAACAGAATTCTAAGAATACTCTTTAAAAATAATACATAACAAAGCATTAGGCCACTTTTTACCAAAATAACGATTATAATTTTAATCTCAAATTGATACAAAATATTTGTCCCACAATCCAGCCAATTATATATAATCATATATATTATATATAATATGATAATATTTCTATAGTTTCGCCTAAATCTAACATTCTATTTTATTTTTTTCTTTTACTTTTCTAACAAACATAGACCACGCAAAGCTTCTACTGTAAGTTTAGATATATGGAGAGACGATACTTTTGCGGAAATGCACTGATATGTTCATGTACCAAGTATAGCTGCCATATGTATTGCTTCTTTACAATATTTCCATTAAATGACCCTTTTTTTATGTCGAAACTGTGAAAGCTAATTGAAAAGCTGTTTTATTTGAAATTTTTCAAAACTTCATTCACAATACACCATTTGTTGAAACTTTGAAACATTTAAATTTCTTTACTTGAATAAATCTTAACTATTCTTTGAGATTTAACAAATTTTAACAAAAGTTTTAACATACCCCCGAACTGGTATCACTTTTTCAGACAAATATTCAGGAGTTTTACTTAATTTTGAACATTTGTAGAGATTGTTTAAACTTTTTGTAGTACTTGTAATTTCTTTTATTTATGTGTTTTCTATCAATTTTTCCCATCCCTTTTCCCATCGTGAAAGTTTAATTCTTGGGTATTATTTGAATTTTCATACAGCTTAGTTTTATTTTACGATATACATCAGCACTTTTTTGAAGTAAAATTCACTAATATTTACGTGTTTCTAACTTTTAAAATGTTTTACAGATTTTTCAGATTGTTTCTTTGAAAATTCCTAATATGTACATATGTGTTTTTTAAACTCTTAAAGATTTATCAACTTTTTTAATAGCTATACTCTACTGATACTCTACTCTACTATATACTCTACTATACTCTACTGTGTTCTCTGTAATATCACTATAAATTTTCATACATACATACATATGTTTATAATCGCACTATATGTATGTATGCATATTCAGACTCCGAAAATTTTTTTAAGATTTAGTTCAAATTTTCAAAAAACATGTACAACGAAGTATATCTTTTTAAAAAATCCTAACTACATATAACCCCTTAAAATGTCAAGTCAATTATGGACTGGCCCGTTTTACAATTTTGGGACAACAATTTATGAGTTTTAGAATAAAAATACAGAATTTTTATAGAAATATTCCTATCTAAGCCCCTAAAGTCAAAAATTCAAGCATTTTAATAGGGTTAGGGTAGGTATGGTTTGAAATTCAATAGGTCTATAAGGTATACAATTTTAGAAAATTTGTAAAACCTTTCATTTTTAAAGCAACACTTGGAAGTTAAACTGAAACCATTTAATGGAATTATTATTTGTGTATTATTTTTGGCAAATAAATGTAATTTTAAGAAAAGAATACAAAGAATGGGAAGCAGACCTGTAGACTGAGGACGAAGGACAGAGGAAGAGCAAAGGTGGGAAAGGTGAGAGGACAGAAGACAGAGAGGGCTGCTCAATTACAAAATGGGAAAACAAGAAATGAAACCACAAGAACTGGTAAAAATATTGTAATGAGAAAAGTGCACAATGCAAGATAGAGAGGGAGTGGCACACATACACATACAGTATCACTATCACTCACACAGACACATACCAAAAACACACACACTGACAATGGACAGGTAGGCAAAGGCAAGATCGCGTACTAACTCGTTCTCACTCTTTGTGGTACAAAGGTATGCAATTGCATAGCATCTCTTCTCGCTCTAGCCCGTGCAAAATGCAAGTGAATGGACAAAAAAAAAAACAACAAAAATTAAACAGTATTTTTCTCCTTTTTTTTTCTATTTCACCTTTTTGGATGCCGTTTCTTACCTTTCCTCCTTAATTCTTAGGAGTCTTTATAGAATTTTTATTTTTGTGAAAATTTCGGTAAGTATTTCGCAATTTTTGTTTTGTTTCTCGTACTCCTTTTTAAAGATTTTTGAAATGAATTGAAATATTAATATTTTTTTACTTTTGGCACTCTCTTCTTTGATTCTTGAACTTTATTTTAATTTTTCTTAAATTTTTCTTTTTTTTTTGCACTTTGGCTCACATTGAAGAAATTTTTCTCTTGGGCTTGGGACACAGAAAAAAAAATGCAACGATTGTTGTTTTTTGGGATGATTTTGATAGGTTTTATTGGATAGTTTATATCCTTCGTCCTTTTATTTCGGAGGCGAAACGAATAACGATTTTGATGCGATTTTTTTTTCTAGATATTTGGTTTTGTGATTCTTCTCAAAAAAATCGTGTATTTGTTGGTTGGTTGTTGTTGTTGTTGGTGGTGGTACAAGAAGTAGAAGAAGAACCGGTTTGTTACAATTTCTCCTTTACAAATATACACACACACACACACGACGCACGCACACTCGCACACACACCAACAACACAGAAGCAGGCACCAGGCACCAGAAGAAGCACCAACACACACGCGCGAGCGGCGGCCGTATTTTCCTTTCTGGCCGACAAAAATGCCGAAAAACTCACGAAAAGCCGATTTTTCTCGATTTTTCCCGTAGCCTCTCACCGAGAGAACTGCTCACACCGACTTACAATTCCGTATTGAGGCGAGCCGTTCCCGCTAACGTTTCAGAGAGCGACAGAGAGCCATTACATCCAACATCGAACCGTTCGCAGCAAACAACATCGAACCATCAAACCAAACACCACCACTATGGTTTTGTAAAAGAATTTATTTTAAAAATTTATAATTTCTCATTTAACATAGTATTTTAATTAAATTTTTATTATTTTTATTTTTTTTATAGATTTTCCTTATTTTTAGAAAGAAATTAAAAGTGATGCTGCTGGGCTGGCTTCGAACTTCAAACCAGCCCCAAGTGTTCGATGTTCGATAGGGGACTTTGTGGATTCCATTTGACTTATATGAATATATCATTATTTTAATATTGAAAAATATAGAAAAACTATTTTAAAAAATAGTAGATCTAAAAAACTTCACTTAAAAAAAAATGTAATTTAGCTTAAACTATAACTTCTATATAAAATAAAAATAATAACTCAAATATTTTCCACCATTTTTGAAATAAAACTACTATTACTACTGTAGTATAGGGTATTGGTCTAGTCTAAAATTCCCCTAAAAACTGTGAAATATTTTTTTGCTTTTATTTTTTTTGTTAAGCTCCACTATGGGTGAACCGGTTCAACAGGATGCAGGAACAGGAGCCGGAGCCGGAGCAGCAGGAGCTGGAGGAGAGCCAGGCAAAATGCTACCAAAACAAAGGTTTGCTTAAAAAATAAAATATTACAACAACAAAAAAAAATGAAAATAAAAACAAGGAGCTGATCTCTCTCTTTCGGTTTTTCTAAAGAGAGCAAACCGACTTGACAGCAATTTTTGCCACTTCTCTGGCAACTAAAATGGCAAAGCCACACTCTGGAAACTGGGTGAGAACCGGTTCAGGTTCGTTCGCCCAAGGAATGCACAAAAAAAAAATACAAATCCTAAAAAAAAATATAAAAAATTATACAACAACAACAACAAAAGCGGCAGCAGAAACAGCAGCAAAATGCAATGCTGGAAAAAATATCAAAAGGTGCAAGGCAACAAAGCTGAGAAACTGTGTAAATTATTTCTAAAAAAATATTAAAATTTCTATTAATATTGAATATTAAAAGTCTCTTAAAAATGAAGAACAAAAGTATTGCAAAATTTAAAATATTTAAATTTATATTTATTAAAAAAACATATTTTAAGCTTAAAATTAAAAAAAATGCATTTGAAAAATATAAATATATATATTTAATATAATTTATACTAAAAAAAACCATTAAAACCAAAAATATTAAATATTTTAAAATTTAAAAAAAATGGGTTTTTTATTTAATTTTTGTTTGAAAGTACCACTGTAGCCCAATAGTTTGGTCAGCCAGCCTCCCGCCTCACCCCCTGCCCCCTCTCCAGGCCCTCTTTCGGCGCAAAAACCAAAAGGAATGACATAAATCTGCGTGGCAAACAAAAGACTCAAGCAACGAACGTGCCACAAAAGCGTGTTGCAACAAAAGCTCGAGCCTGCAACTGGATTACTGTTACACGACATGGCACATAGTGCAAGAGGAAGCAGGACAGAGCTACCGAGAGAGTGAGACAGCAACATGGGGTCAAATGTTGCGGATTGCGGGCTGCGGGTCCGCGAACTTTTGTAGGTGAACTGACTTCTGAGACTGGCGGCTCTCGAGTCACCCCAAAAATGGTAAACGGATGATGGGAAGCCGTCGGGATGGGTGGCTAAAAAAAAGAGGTGAGGCTTAGAGGGATGGAAGGGTGAATGGGAAAGAAATGGGGAAAATTTGGGACCAGGTAACGCCTGGCTTTTAACAAACATATTGTCTTTTTATTTTTTTAATTTATGAGAAAATTAAATGTTGTTTCGGGAAAAGTGAATATATTTGTTTTTTATATTTCAAACAAATTAAATTTTAAAGAGTTTATTTCTCGAAAAAAGAAATAAATAAAGTTTAAGCTTATCAATAAAAAGAAATATATCGGTATTATGCGGAAAGTCCTAATGTATAGTAATTGTAAATGGCTTTCCAATTCCTACACATTTCTTGGTCTTGTTTTGATCTTAACTTGGTCTACCTCTAAGGTATCTTGCCCCTACTAAGGTACATATTTCGAGAAGTGCCAAGACAAGGATTCTCAAATATCACAGTATCAAAAGGACTGGTCGGCCTTGCAAAAGAAGTATTCAGATTTGCAGGAAAAATATCAGGAAAAATATGGCCAGGTAAACTGGTCAGGCCAGAATCAGTCTAAATTGCTAAAAAGGCTTTTCAGCTTCAAAAAAAGTAATTCGGACTGGGAGAAAAGGTATACGGAAGTGCAGGATAAATTAAATTTGTTGCAATTTAGTCATCTGGAAGTTGAAAGTCTTAAAGATTTAGTGAATGAAAAAAATAAGGAAATCCAGCTATTAAATGATAAAATGAGTGTCCTTCAGGAAAAAAGCGACCTTGCAATGTTGGCAGATCAACTTCGCGAAAATATTGTCAAATTGGAAAAATTGGCAAAGATTGGAGAAATGAGGAAAACTGGAGTTGCAATTTCAGATAATGAGGCAGGGAAAGGGGAACAAATACATGAAAAAAAATCAACAAATCAATTGGCTAATACTAACAATCAAATTAAGTCGGAAGCTGAAATTAATGGTAAGTTGACCAAACCGAATAATTTACCAAATAAAACATTTCCCAACTTTTCCAGACCGTTGCCCATCAAAAATTAACAATGAAATGTTCCGCCAAAAAATTAAAATCCCAGGATCAGATCCATTCGAAGTGATCTTTTTATCAAATGAGCTGTTAGGATCTGGTTGGATAATCGATTTTGTTAAATTCAATTCTTTTGATCCAAAAATGTTAAATAGAACGTATAATGAATATAAAAGTGGATTCGAACAGTGAATACTTTCCTGAATACCGGTAGTGAATACTTTATCGGACTTGAAAGATTGCACCTCCTAACGAATAGAAATCCTTATGAGATAAAAATAATTTCGAATAAAACGATTGAAAGCTGCGACAACCTTGTTATTGACAACAGGAGTGAAGGATATATGGTAAAGAGTATTGGCAAATGTACTGGAAAAACAATTCGGAGCCTTAGTCAGGGCACCAAATTTTACACCTAAGATCGAGACGAGGACGGAAATCCCAATCATAATTGGGCAAAAGAATTAGGGTTGGGCTGGTAGTTCGATTCTAGGTGAGTTAAATACAATTAAATACAACTTCAGTCAAGTATTGTATTGTTTTTGATATTTAAAGAATATGAACCCATTTTTATGAATATGAATTAATTAAATTTTAATTGTAATTGTTGGCATAATTGTTCCACAATTGTCTAATTATGGTTCTTGCTTATCTTCAAGCGCACCACTCGGTTGACCATTTAAATCGGTTGAGCATTTGGAGGCCGAACTCTGAACTTTATTGTTTCGACTAACGGCGGCTGGCTGGTATTTTGGTATCATTTAAGCCGCATTTATTGTTCTGCGGTTTTGTTTTCGCTTTTCTTTGCCTTGGCTTGGCTTGGTCTCGGCTTGGCTTGGCTTGGCCACTTAGAAGCCGCCAAACAAAACACTCGACTCTGCGCACCACAAAACCAAAAAAAAAAAACAAAAAATATGACCTAAAAAAATTAACAAAAGTAAAAAAAAAGGGAAAAGAAACAAGCGACGGTGGCAACAAAAATAAACAAAATGAATAAACCGCAAAATAAATAAGACAAGAATTATGCAAAGCGCAGACAAATGCGCAAATTTGAAAAATGCCACAGCAGCTGCGTTTTTGGGTAAAAAAAATCTATAAAATATAAAAAACCTAATATAAGCAAAGACAAGTAGATGTTTAGGTTGTCACTAAGTATTCTTTAATTTTGTTTGAAATATATCTAAAGTGAAATTAAAGATGAAAACTTGCCAAGAAAAGTATCTAATAAAAGCCTTAATATGATTAATTTGATAAAAATAACTGGCAAAAATAAACTTATAAAGTATTTGTTTTATATTAAAGTACAATTATTAAACATATACAATTTTTCTGGCCCTTGAAACCCAAGTAACCCCTCAAAAAATAAGCAACTAATCTTTAAATAAATCACTTTTTACAAAGTATCTTTTTATTTTTGTTTTTAAATTTCCAACTAATTTCTCTTCACTTTTTTTTTGTCTTTTTTTAGCTTTTTCTTTAAAGTTTCAACGTTTTGAATTTTAATTTCCAAAAAAAAACGTGAAAATATGTGCCTTGGCTTGGCTTGCTCCCCAAATAATACCCCACCCTGACTTTTAATTGTAAGCTATAAAAAAATAAATCAAATATAGATATGATATATTTAAAACTACAAAAAAAGAGAATTTTTCAATTAAGGTATTTACTTGTTTAAATATTATTTTAAACAAAATAGATCTTTTTTATTATTTCATTGTAAGATTTCTGTATAAATTTTTAAGGTTATTTAAGACTTTCAAGCTTCTGTGATTTTGATTTTTTGTATTTTGTATTTTTTTTGAATGATTTTAATGATGGCTGGCCGATACAAAAGGGCGTTGCTGCTGCCATTGCCTGGCTAGTATGTTGAACAAATATTACTCATGGCTCTTGGCCCGGCCCGATCATGTTGAACAGCATAGCTAACACCCAAGAACAACGTGACGAACAACCCGGCCAACAACGAGTCAGCCAGTCATTTGGCCAGTTAGTCAGTTAGCCGACCAGCCAGTCGATGACAAAAAAAAAAGAAGAAAAACGAACAACGATCGAGGCCCAAAAGTTGATTTCAAGTTGTGTGCTCAGGCCGCTGACTGATTGTCATGGCACGATAATGAAATAACATGGCTTATACCATGGCCTATACCCTAACGAACAAAAAGTGTCGAGTTATAGCTCTTTTTTGGAAAAATAATTTTTTTTAATAAACTTCACAAGGGGTCCATATAAAATGATAAATCTAAGGATAATGTTTCTTTAAGGTTGCGGTTGGATTAGTATTAAAAAAAAAAGTTTAGTAGAGCTACCTCTATCAG